TCCTTCAGCACCTCCCGCAGCCAGTGGCCCCCCTAGCCTGCCTCCCTGCCGCGCGGCTGCCCACCTGGCGACGTGACGCTTCACCAATCCCCTTCGAGCTGCTCCAGGGCCCCCTCTCCTTGCACCGCCCCCCTCCTCACCCAGAAAGAGGCTCACTCTGCTGGGGCAGACGCTGTGCTCTCTCCGCAGAGCACCCCTCTAGCTTCTTCGTCTCCAGGACGGACGCTCAGGCTCTTCTCTTGCCTTAGCCAAACTTGCTTCCACTCCTCTCTCCTTCCCTCGCCTCTCCCCTCTTCTCCTTCAACCCCTCTCCTCTTTCACCTCAGACTCCCCTCGCGCACCCTTCAGTCGCCCGTTTTCCTTAGGCTTGAAGCCATGGCGGGACCTGGGGGTTGGAGGGACAAGGAGGTCACGGATCTGGGACACTTGCCGGTGAGTAAGAGGACACCCGTCGTCCTAGAAGTACTGTGCTTCTGTGGATTCTGAGCCCTGGGGTAGGAGGAGGACTCCTTCGAAGCTGGCTGAGCCAGAACTTCGACGGGTCCTGCCTGCGGTTGCTGGAGGGGACCTCCTGTCCCCAGAGATCCGGCTTGAGAAAAAGGCACCCCCTGGGGACCCGGCCTCGCCAAACTCCAAGAAAAGGCAAAGGCGCTAATGGTGGGAAGGGAATAGAGTGGTAATAGGGTGCTTCAAGCTCCAATCAGCAGGATGTTTTCAAAATGTGACCCGCTTTGTCTTAGCGGCACTCCGGTACCTGTCCTAATTGGGGGCTCTAGGACAAGCCAAAAAGCGCGACATCGCGTGGCTTCTCCAGAGCACTCCTCCCTGTTACCCCGCCGCCCCGTCGTTTGCTGCTACTTTTGCAAACGAAGATGCCTACTCTGGGGGTGACCTTTACTTTCAGGTGAAGAGGGACTAGAAAATTAACGGGTGGCGAGAGGAGGGTGGGGGTGTCTCACTTTTCTCACTTTCTAATAGCACATCCTAAAAACCTTCTTATTCTTGCCAGGGCAAAGTTCCCGATTTAGTGTTGCAGGAGCAAAAGAACTCGACGTCCTTTGGGGAAGAAGTGAATTCTGCACACCCCAATTTAAAACAAAATAGTATTGCACTCCGTAGCTAACCTGATTACTTTTTCTCGTGGTTTTCGTTTGTGGGTTCTCCTTTTCCCCAATGCCCAGCTTTTCTCCGGAGTTGTAATTGATTGCTGAGCTATTATCGCCGTCGTTATTAGTAGACTTATTATTTTAGCAGCGCGGTTTATTTCATTGGCATCTGGTTTCTGGCTGATATTGGATCCCACCCAAATCCGTTTTTCAAGTTCCCTTTTTAGATTGGCATTTCACTCGCACCCTCTCTTGAATGCAAAGGGCCCCTGGACTCTCAGAAAAGGAATAAGCAGGCACCAGGCACCGTGCTGGAATGATCTCCAGGCAACTGTAGTTCAAGGCATGGCCTGCTTGCTTTGGGAAAAGCTAAATATTAACTTTGAGGATATAGGACTATTCAAAGCTGCGTTGACTTAATTTTATACATATTTGGCATTCAAAGATTGTGTTTTTGATGACAACAGACACCTGCCCCCTCAAAAATGAGGTATTTTCAAAGCCTTGCCTACATAATTTTACACTAGAATGATGTTCATGGGGGGAGACATGATGCATATAGGTAACAATTTAGCAAATAGTTCTCAGCCATTGGGGGAAAAAATCAATATAAACATGTAAATTGCAAGTAATAGCGTTCTGATTATTGATGCAGCTTCATAAAATAAAGTCACAGAACTCTTAAAAATTGCATCCCCCCCCCCCCCGCAGGCACCTGCAATTTCTTTTTTTTTCCGCATGCACCTGGAATTTCTTTCTTTCAGTGTGCATGTATGAAATTTTTCAAACATTAAAGGCTTCAATTGGTGGTTTCCTAACTGAACAGAACTTTTGTATTTCAGACGAGATTTGCTCCCAAGTAAAAGTGTAAAACCAAGAAACGAAATCTTACCCTCCTCCTACATTTTCTGTGTATAGTGGGGACAAGAGAAAAAAAGCAAACCAGGGCAGATATGTGCACCCACACATGGGCAAACTGAAATAAATTTCTTTCTAAAAACCACCAAAGAGAGGAATGGATGAGACCAGACAGAAATGATAGAACAGGGATTTCTAGATACAAGGAGAGAAAAAAAGAAGGTTTTATTACCACAAAAAAAAAATGTGGGGGAAATGGCCCAGACTAACTGACCTGGTCATGGCCCTGGGACATTAGAATTTAGTGAGAGTTCAGGAGATAAGCCAAAAGGCTGCAAAAAAAAAATCTTTGCACTGCAATTTGGTGGCATATTCGTTTTCTGAAGGGAGGGGGGACCATAAAAAGGGGAAAAAGATGAGACTGATTTTTAACTTTTGGGGACCAGAGAGAAGACAAAATCTTTGGGCACTAATGCTTGATCTTATTTTACATACTTCATTAGTCTCGTAAAGTCCTCCGGTTCTAACAATTTCTAAATTTTATACAGGAGTCATTTTGTCTCAAGTGGAAGTCTTTATCTGAGCAAATTATGCATATATTCTCCCCTCTTCCCAGACACCTAGATTAAAAGCAGATCAATACACCCATTAGAATTACTTTTACTATCACAGTTTAGAGATTTGGAAATCATTGTTGCATTCACTGAGGTGTATTTTAATGATTTAATATTTCTTTATGTTTGACATTTTCTGAGACTATGAAGAAGAGACATCTAAGTCAGCTGTGTTAAAGTTTGCATTTTTGATACGAAGAGGAGATGATTAAGTGAATTAAGAAATCTGCATGTGGGGATCTCCCTTGCAATAATTATCCTCAATAGGATATATATCTGAAAGTCAGAAAACTGGCATATGTCAACATCAAGTATAGCAGTTTGAACGAGGTGAGATTCAAACCTTGGAATTTCAAACTGAGCAAAAAGTAGAGAAGAATAGACATGAAACTAGTTTAATATTGATATATTATGTTCTTTACAGATCTGGGCAGCTACGGGACAAAAACCCTTGAGAAAAAACAGGAATATTGAATCTAAAGAAAGTCGTAGAAGGTTATTCGGTATTTTTGTTATTAGATACATGTCACATTTAAACCTAAATTAGTAAGCA